ATATGAGTTTGGATGGATGTATTGGATCAGCCATGGCTAGTGTTTACCTGGTACTTGGTTTCACAGAATATATTGCTGAACCTGCTGTGCTTGTTGATCTTTATAAATTTTCACTCGCTCATAACAGGCCTTCTGCCTCCATCTTCACTTGCCTGTGGCCTTCCAAAGGTGGACAAAAATACCTAGAAAGCAAACTGCCAAAGAGTTTCAGATGCCATTTATCTAGCCCAGTTTTTGGTTTCGGTGTGGCCTGATTAGGGATTTTGAGGGGCAGCTGAAAATCCCCAAGCCCACTCATATTTGGTGTCATTTTGGATGCAGTTCACTCCTACAACTCTGTATCTTATATACCTCATTCAAGCAAGCCCACCCTGAAACACACACCATAACTCAGTAAAAAAAAAAATTGCAGAGACAACTATTGATCTTTAATTTGGGTCAGAGGATCAGGCAGTCAAAATACACATCACTTGATGTCTCCTCCATATATGTCATATGTGGTATTTTCTTAGCATTCTTTGTATGTGGAGGCATTTTCCAAATGTGGACTTGAGTGAAAGATCATAAGACAATAGATATAGGTTAGTGACCTTTCAATCCAGAGAAAGCACCTCCCATTTTTACAGTCCATGTCCTGAGGAGGAGATTATGGCATTATGGGTGAGAAGGACCTGCAAGTACCCTGAATTTGGTCCAAATCCTTTCTAAACTTGTTTTTTTATTTTTTTACACTTCAACTGCTAGCCTATTATTATGCCTTTGCATGATCAACTGTATCATCTTCATCCTGTGCCATACAGACAACCTGTGGCTAGACTCTGTGAACTTCAGACTCACAGAGCACATTGTAAAATTACTGCTAAGAGCCCCTTGCTAGAGGCACCTATTCTCTTTACTATCCATCTTGCTAATCTATTTAAACTTCCTCACTGTATTATTATATGCAATGGATGGCTGGGGAAACAGTTCCTGGATGAAAATTAGAAATGGCAAAAATAAAAAAAAAATAAAGAAGAAATGGTATTAAGGTGTTGTGAATTTAAAGTAGTTAAAATGCGTTTTACTTTCCTTGTCTGTAATGCTGAGGTAAAATAGCATTCATTTCATGGGTTCCTTTGGAGAATTAAATGTGATATTTGATGATTAAAGAATAAGCTTATATTAAAACATGGTGTTTTAAACAATTTTTAAAAATTAGACTAACTGCAAAACAGGTATCCTTGATAGATATTTATAAACCATTGCATTTAAAACTGAAGGTACAAGATGATTAAAGAAGAATAATCTTATTTTTAAATATATTTTATTGATTATGCTATTACAGTTGTCCCATTACCCCCCCTTTCATTCGCCTCCACCCTTCACACCCTCTCCCACCCACATTCCCCCCTTTAGTTCATGTCCATGTGTCATAAATTCTTTAGCTTCTACATTCCCCATACTACTCTTGCCCTCCCCCTGGCTATGTTCTACCTACCATCTGTGCTACTTATTCTCCATACCTTTTCCCCCTCTCTCCTCCTCCCACTCCCCTGTTGCTAACCCTCCGTGTCACCTCCACTTCTGTGCTTCTGTTCCTGTTCTAGTTGTTTGCTTAGTTTGCTTTTCTTTTTGTTTTAGGCGTGGTTATTAATAATTGTGAGTTCGCTGTCATTTTACTGTACATGTTTTTTATCTTCTTTTTCTTAGATAAGTCCCTTTAACATTTCATAAAATAAGGGCTTGGTGATGATGAACTCCTTTAACTTGACCTTATCTGAGAAGCACTTGATCTGCCCTTCCATTCTAATGAAGGCTTTGCTGGATAGAGCAATCTTGAATGTAGGTCCTTGCCTTTCATAACTTCAAATACTTCTTTCCAGCCCCTTCTTGCCTGCAAGTTCTCTTTTGAGAAATCAGCTGACGGTCTGATGGGAACTCCTTTGTAAGTTACTGTCTCCTTATCTCTTGCTGCTTCTAGGATTCTCTCCTTCATTTTAATCTTGGCTAATGTAATTATGATGTGCCTTGGCATGTTCCTCCTTGGGTCCACCTTTTTGGGACTCTCTGAGCTTTCTGGACTTCTTGGAATTCCATTTCCTTTGCCAGATTGGGGAAGTTCTTTATTATTTGTTCAAATAACTTTTCCACTTGTTGCTCTTCCTCTTCCCCTTCTGGTACCCCTATAATTCAGATGTTGGAATATTTAAAGATGTCCTAGAGGTTCCTAAGCCTCTCTTCATTTTTTTAAATTCTTGTTTCTTCATTCTTTTCTGTTTGGTTGGTTGTTTCTTCCTCTGGTGCACTCCATTGATGTGAGACCCAGTTTCCTTCCCATCACTATTGGTTCCCTGTGCATTTTCCTTCATTCACTTAGCATAGCCTTCATTTTTTTTTTCATCTAATTTGCGACCAAATTCAACCAGTTCTGTGAGCATCCTGATCACCAGTACTTTGAACTGTGCATCTGATAGGCTGGCTGTCTCTTTGTCGCTTAGTTGTTATTTGCTGTGGAGCTTTAATCTGTTCTTTTGTTTGGGCCATTTTTTTTTTTTGTCTTGTTGCTCCCATTACGTGTGAGGGGCAGAGGTGTTCACCAGGGTGGGACAATCCAGTGGCTGCGTTGTGACACTGTATGCAGGCAGGAGGGTCCAAGAGGGAACAATGGCGCTTGCTCTGATCTCTGAAGGACTTCAGTCCCTTCCACCACTTCCCCCAAGCAAACTGGGCCTTTCTGGTGTTAATACCTGTGTGGGTGGGCTTGTGCACATTCTAGGACCCTGTGGGTCTCTCCAACAAACTCTCCTGTGAGGCCAGGAGTCTCTCCCTGCGCCTCAACCCCCACAGGTGTTTTCAGTCAGTGCCCCAAGGCACTATTTCCTGGCACTGGGACCCTGGGTTGCACGCAGTGCCTCACTTCACAATTGCCACCTTGCTGGGTCTGCCAATTGCCACCCTGCACCCAGGGTCTGCCAGCCGCTACCTAAGCGCCCAGGGTCTACCCGCTGCGGTCTTGCGCGCCCACAGTGCTTTACGTGCCCGGTCCCATGCCTCTTTGTGTTGTGACGCCACTCTGCCCAGCTGCCGGACTCCACCCTGCCTACTGGTCTGAATGAACATGTCTATTTGAACTTCTTGGTTGTCTGACTTCCATACAGTTCAATTTTCTGTCAGTTCTGGTTGTTATTCTATTTCCAAATTGTTGTACCTATCTCGGTTGTGCAAGGAGGCACAGTGTGTCTACCTATGCCTCCATCTTGGCCGGAAGTAGAATAATCTTATTTTAAAACACTGTGTTTTTGACAATTAAAAACATAAAACTAGACTAACTGCAAAACAGGTATCCTTGACAGATATTTATAGACCATTGCATTTAAAAATGCAATGTACATATTTTTTCTCTATTTCACATGGAAAACTTTCTAAGGCAAATCTTGTATTAGGAGAAAAAACAACCCTCAATAAATTAAAAAATTTTAAGTTATTTAGTCATATTTTCCTTTTATTTTTCTAAAAGATTTTATTCATTTATTTTTAGAGAGAGTGCAGGGAAGGAAATAGTGAGGGAGAGAAAGGGGGAGATGAAAATTCACAGCCTGGAATGTGGAGAGCAATCATGCATGGGCAAGGCCAGCACTGGGTTCCAGCACCCACAGGTGCCTGCCTGTGGACCAGGCAGACCACAGGGGGAAGTGCCCACTATTTAGCCACACAACCTGCCTAGGAATTCTGAGCTTGGCCTCCTGGGCCTATCCCCAGCTGTGCCTTGGTTTCCTCCCCTGTCAAGTGAGTAGGGATCACCTGCTTCCCAGGGAAAGCGAATTGATGCACGTGGACCCAGCAGTGCTACCTCACACCACCGCTCCTCTGCCCCACAAGCACAGTTCCAACTTCCTTGTTGCATCACCAGGCTAGAACAGGGCCTGGGTATAGCAGGCATTCCATGATAAGAGGGTGAATGAATGCGCCCCCAATAGCAGTTGGGCTGGGGCTCAGAGGATCTAACTTGCTGATTTGGCACGGCTGCAGTTTATGGCCTTGTGCTAAGAGTACCACATTCCCCTCTCACAGATGGGGAAACTGATCCACAGAGAGGTCCAGCCACCTGCCTGAGGCCACACAGCTACTGGCAGTGGTTCAGAGTCAGAGTCCAGCAGGCCGGAGAGGAACCATAACACCTCCCCAGGGCGGCTGGGCGGATCTGCTCAAGGCACACGGTGCCGGAGGCGGTGGGGAGGCGGGGGCGGGCTTTAGTACAGACAACGGCAGATAGGGTGGGAGAAGACAGAAGTCCAGGGCTTCATTCTGGAAGGGTCAAAAGCAGCTGTTCCTGGCCCAGTCAGGGTCAGGACAGGACACAGTGCCCCCCACCTTGGACCTCCTGGGAGAGGAGTACCAGCCCTAGGAGAAAATGCGCGGGCCCCTCCCGCCCCTCACGCCTTGGAGGCCCAACCTCTGGGAAAGATGAGCTAGGGCTGGAAGAGCCAATGGTTCTGGCTGCCCCCACTCCAAGGACAGGCAGAGAGTGCCACTCCAGCAAAGGGGTACTGCCTCCCGCGTGGGGACACCGAGGCTGTTCCATTGGGCGGAGGCGAGCGTGCGGGAAGCCTTCGTGCCCAGTTTCCTGGATAGGAAGGTCAGGGCTTGGAGGCTGGAGGCTGAGTCACGGAGCAAAGACGGGCTCTTTGACGCAAGGTGTGTCTGGCGGACCCCCAAGGTTTGCAGCGGCAGTGTCACCAGCACGCTTTCCTTCATGGGGCTCCTGGCAGTTTGCAAAGTGGCCAGGATATTGGCCTCATTTCATGGCTCAAAAGTGTCCGTGATGGGGAACGTGGTGGAGGACGTGCCTCCCCCGCGACCACCTGAAGCCAAAGCCTGAGGAGCCAGGACGCAGACTGGAGTTCTCACTAAGTGGGAATGGAGTCGGCGTATCCGAACTGGGGCCTCCAGGGCCTGGGCACTCGGGGCTGGGGGAGGAGCCTAGGACTACAGCGCTGGGTCTGGGGAGCTGGGACGGACTAAGGCGGTCCGGGGCAGTCCGGGGCGGTCCCGGGGAGGACCTGGGCGGGCGCGGTCCCGGGACGGGCGCGTACCCGGGTACCCGCGCGGAGGAACGGGTAGCGTTGTGTCTTGGAGCGAGGCGGTCCCGGAGGCCGCACCATGGACTCGGTCCCCGAGGAGTACGAGCTCAACGGCGACCTGCGCCCAGAATCGCCCCGATCCCCGGACGCCTCGGTAAGCCCCTGTGCCCTCACCGCTATGCGATCGTGGCGGATGCCCACCCTCTACCTCTATGGGCTTCGCGCCCGAGGCTCCCGGGCACGAATGGGCTATGGCCAGCTGCGCGCTGCTTACGCGCTGTGTGTTGGTGGGGGTCGCCGCGCCCGGTGCGTCCTGCGCCTCACCGGCACCCTCAGGGGCCCGAATGGTGGCCCCGGCTCCAACCACTCGGGCTAGTGAGCTGGAACGCGGGGTAGGGGCGTTGGTGGCCTGGCAGCTAGGCCGAGCCAGGTGGTGCTCACACCTCCCTAACACCCGGTCTTCCCCGCCCCCGCACCACCTGTAACTTCCAGTCGCCCTATCTCCTCCCACTGGGTGGGCAGGGAGTACCCTAGCCTCCGGGCCCTAGGCCAGCAGCGGGCAGACAGTTACGTCACCCAGGGTGTCCACGGCGACCTCAGTCTGGTGCGTGCCTTGATAGGGAACTTGGGGCCACTGTGGCCCCACCCCTTTCCCCTTCCGCAGCCCCCTGCAACCTGTTATCGTCTGCCCTGTCGATCAAAGAGTACGGTGGGCACCAGGCAAACACTGGCAGTGGCCCTGCCCCCGCATTAGAGCCAGTGCCTTCCCGCCACAGGGTCCCATCCCGCTGCTGGGCGGGACCTGAGCAGTGGTCTGCCACTTCAGAGGCCTAGCACTTGCCCAGTCCCTGCTTGTGAAGCAGTCCTGGACACAGCCCTCTGGTTGGTTGACTTTGGACATTCTTTCAGTTTCTGACCCCCTGGGGATGGGGGCAGGGCCAGTGGTGTCTCTTCAGTGTGAACCTGACTGGGGCAGAGATGACAATGCCCAAGTGTGAGTAACTAGACAGGCTATGTTGCGGTTGGGGGCAGGGGGAGTCTGATGTGGGGCAAGCAAGGTCCCAGATGGCTTGAATAACCCTCCCGTGAACCCCTGGACCCATACAATAATCGTCTCCATTCTTCATAGTAAATCATTCCAGGGCCCCAGCCACCTTGCTGGCTCTTTAGTAAAGCCTGACAGCCCTGGGATGGCCCAGGATGTTTGTTCTGGGTTAAAGAAGAGTAAACTGAGGACTGAGAGGAGCCCACATGTGGCCCTGAACTGACATGTGAACACTGGAGCAGAGGGCTGAGTGTGCTTGGAGAAGCTGCTTCCCCTCACTGGGCCTTCTGTCCATGGTCTGAAAAGGAAGAACAAATGACCACTGCCTGACTTCAGGGAGTGGGGGGAGCAGGTCAGGTAACAAACAGGGCAGGTTAGTTGGAAGTAGGTTTGAAAAGGAGGGATCCTGTTAACCTCCCAGGTTTGGCTACACCCTTCACTCTAAACCTGCTCTGCTCACCTCCAGGGAGCACTGCATTGGCTCTGGGATGGGATGGGGGGCTGGGAGGAAGAGACATTGCAACCTGCAAGCAGAGCAGACAGAGAAGCCTCTGCCAAAGTTGTGAACTCCCAGGGGCTGGGCGTGACAGTAGTGGGAATGTAACATCAGCACTGGGCCTTGGAGGACTGGAGTGGGGTGCAGGCATGACCTTCCACCACATGGGGAAGGGCATCTCAGACAGAGGGAGCTAAGAGAGAAAGGCCCAGAGGCTGGGCCACCCAGCACATTGGGGATAGAAAGGAGGTGTGATAAGAGTGTGATAGGAGTTCAGGCCAGGCTGGGAGGCTGTGTGAGAGTAAACACATTTGTCCCGCAGTCTTTAGTCACAGGCAGGGAGGCTCCTGTAGGGATGGCCAGCCTCAAGGCCACTCAGCTTAGCAGGCCCCCCACCCCCATCACTGTGCCCCAGCCTCTTCCCTTCCCTTCCCACCTCTAGGACCTGCCTGTGTTCAAGGCACATCACACTGTGCCTCAGTTTCTCATCCATGAAATGGGGTGGTAGCAGTGCATCCCTCAGAAATCATTAAGAGGACTATGGGAGCTATGTGTGAAGTGACACAACTAGCCAGTCACACTGTGTCATTAACATCCCCACCTGCCACATGATGCCTGGCAGTGCCTTCATCAGGGAGATCCCTGGATGTGTATGGCCCTACCCTACATCTCTCCTGGCTATTCTTAGGTCTTCTCTCCATGTGGCCCTGCCAGAATCTGAGCCTCAGGCACCTGGCTTGCAGGGGTGGGGGTGGGAAGAAAGGTTTGCTAGGAGGATCAACCAGGGTGTCTTCAGGGGATCCTGGATGGTGGGTTGGGTAAGCTGTGTCCCCAGTGTGCCCCTGACCATGGGAAGACGAAGTGGAAGTCCTTGCCTTACCGTGCAACTATGGGCAAGTGCAGACCCAATCCAGCCTCAGTTTTCTCTTCTGTGAAGTGGGGAGGTTCTGGCTCACCTCCCCAGGTGGCCTGGCATACAGAGCAATCACATGACTAACCTATGGTCAGACAAGCCCCTCTGGGACTAGGCAGTGGGGAGATCCACAGATGTCATTCTCTATGTTCCGAAGCTCCCATGGCCCCTATGTAGGCCCATCTGCCCAGGGTCCGCCCTGGGAGTGAGTTGGCGTCTTTATTAAGTCAACTCACTGTTGCTGCTGGCAGGGGAATGGTGTTAATTTTATTGTGAAAGTGGCTTATGGCTGTGTCATGCCCCAGGTGGCTTGGTTTGGGAGTAGCTCTGTTGGACCCTGCAGCAGATGCTGGGATTGTGGCCAGCTGAGGACACAAGCAGGGAGGTGGTGGGACCGTGTAGGAACAAGGCTCCAGAGGCCACATCTGGGCCATGCACAGCCTGAGCTGTTGGGGGAACTTTGCTCTTCTCATTTCTGCTTTTCCAGCAGATCCCCAGGCTGACAGGGTCCTGGCCAAGTTCTAAAAGGTGATTTTTATGTGGCCACAGGGTCACTGACTGTCAGTGCTGAGCCCACAGGAAGTGAGTGTGCCCAGCCCATAGCCTAGTTGCCACAGGAAATACCCCCCATCCCCACCCCCCACCAAACTTCCTGCAAGGAGCAGGAGACTTCTTGGCTGGCCAAATGGGGACAGTTCCCTGGGTGTGGGCCTGTGTGGCCCCAGGCGGGTGCCTTCACACAGCCTGTGAAGTGGGCACAATGGCAGCTCCAGCCCTGGTGGGTCAGACAAGGGACACTCAGTCCCTGCCAGAGCCAGTTTGTTCTCAGTTCCCACCTTGGAGGAAGGACACCAGAGCCTCCTCCTCAGTTACCTGGTGGTAACTGAGCCCAAGGTGGAGGTTCCCTATGCAAGAGGGGCTTCAAGGTGCCAGCAGCTGGAACTGGACACCTAGGGCCCCCCAGTGCCATTTGGCTCACACAGCCCTATTCCCCAGGCTTGTTCTTTTTCTTCTTTGTTATAGGTTTGTTTTATGGAGTTATTTAATTAACTGGTGTAGTTCATTTGGAAGACAGTCTTTCAAAGCTATGAGGGTTGGGTGGCAAGGAGGACTGTCTGGCCCTGTCGCAGCCAGCTGTGCTCTGACCAGCCCCCAGGTCTCTTGAGCCCCTCCCTCAGTTTCCTGTCAGCTCAGTTTACAGATGTGAGGAAACTGAGGCACAGGGCAATCACCCTCAGGCCTATTGTGTGGTGAGATGCTGGAATGATAGAGGGAGGTGCCAGTAGCAGCCCCACCTAGCTCCTAGCAAGCCAGCTGATGAACCTCATAGATTTGTTGGGGCCCTTGGTCTCTCTGTCAGCAAACATGGAAATGGACTCTGGGAGGACAGATGGGAATTCCCATACAGTCTCCGTGTTCCATACTGTACACAGGATTTGGGGTCCATGACACAGTGGAGGTCAGGCAGGATTGGTAGGAGTCAGTAAGCAAACCCCTGAGGTCTATAGGACCTCAGTGGGCCTTGGCCCTGGCCTGGCCTCCCAGAGGAGCCGAGGGTGTGGGGGCAGGAGGTTCAGGTTGGGTCACACAGTCTGGGGCCAGCTGGGGCCCCAGGCAGCCCCCATCTCTTCCCATTTGAGCCTGGGTTGGACCAGAGCATACTTTAACTGTGACCAGAACTGGGTGCCCAGGGTGCCTCAGATCTGTGTTCAAAACTAGTCCTAATTCCCCTCCCCTCAACCTGAGGATGCCCAGCAGTATGTTTTTGGGCCAAATGGCCTGGGTCCCTGCAAACTGCCTGCAAAGAGCACCCATAAAACCCTTTGTCCACAGAAGGTGGGCAGCTCTGCATGGAGTCAGCTCCCTGTCTCCAAGACTTTTTACGGGGGAAATCCAGTAGCCCAGCTCCTGGGACCATAGTTGACATTTTGGGAAGTTTTGTTGGCCCAAGAAACACATTAACCAGGGTGTTTGCTCCCTGTACTGCCAAGGTCATGGCAGAAATCTTAGTAGGAGGTTCCCAGAGTGGCTTCTGGCAGCTGGGTAGCCAGGCCACTGAGCTCCAGACCTGCAGGATGTGGTTTGCAAGACAGCAGCCTCCTTGGGATTCACCTGTGCAGTGTCACTTGGAGGGCCCAGAGCTCCCCGCACCAACCCCAACAGCCCAGAGCCCCTCCCCAAGGTGGATGTGAGGCTGTGCCTCATACTAGGCAGCCCTAGGCTTTGGGGCAGATGGGCCAGGTTTGAATTCTGATCTGCCCCTCCCTCACAGTGGCCCTGGCAGGACTCTGAGCCTCAGTCTCCCACTCTGTAGAAGGGAAGAAAGGGAAAAATCACACTTCCTCTCAGGGTTAGCAGAGAACTCAGTAGGTAGTTGAGCCTCACAGAGTGCAGCCCAGGAAGTACAGATGAAGAGACCAAGGCCAGCAAGGCAGGGTGCACATTCTCAAAGCCATACAGCCAGGCTGTCATGAGCCAGTCCTTGACTGGGCCTCTCTGACCATGGCCTGTGCTGCCCTTATCACTGTGCAGGTTGAACAGGAACCAGATGACCAAGTGGGCAGGAAGTGCCCTGCACTGAGAGGGGTGTGTAGGCTGGGGTTCTGAGGCAGCAGTTAGTACCCCACAACCCCCTTGGGCACGTGCTCCATGACCCCCTTGCAAACATGGATGACTGAGGCCTTGAGGGGGCTGGCTGTCCTGATGTCATGCAGCTGGAACCTGGGCAAGGGGAACTTAAGAGTGGTCAGCCCCCGCAGGGTGACCCCTAACCCCAGCCCCTCTATGGGGCCTGAGGAGACCATGGTGTTAGCCACCAGGGATTCTGAGCCCCAGGGACTGAGTTCAAATCGTAGTGCAGCCATCACTTGCTACTGGTTTTGGACAAGGGGCTTCAGTTTACCCCCAGTAAATGAGTATGAGGTTAGGGAGTCTCCCTGGAGGAGGGTACCCAGCTGAAAGATGAAGATGGTAGGCTGTGTCCTCTCTCAGGATAGAAGACAGCATGGCACAGACTCCCCATGTTGAAGACACTGCCACTGACAGTGTCATTCTCTATTTGAATGTGTATGTGGCCACATAGTTATAAAATATTTAAATGGTTCAAGAGAGCTCAGAATAAAAAGGAATTCTTCCTCCTGCCCAGAAGCCACCAGAGTTATCCTGGGCATGAACATATATGTGTGTGTTTATTTATGCATGTGTACCTGTGTCTATGATATATATATGAATATTTAGATGTGTATGCCAGTACTTGTATGTCCACATATGTATATGTCTGTTATATGTGTGTACAGGCTTAAATGTTTGTGTGTATACATGTTTATTCATGCATATACATGTTGCTTGTGCACATGATGTATGTGGGCATGTGTTTATGTATGTGTACATGTGTGAATGTATATATATAAACTCGTGTATGCATATCTATGGCCCACAGAACAGAAAGCAGGAGCCCTTTGTAAAGTCTGCACCTGGCTTTTTCTCTGGGGTTGGAGACTGGAATAAGCACTGGGGTGGCTTCAAGTGAAGGTACCTTGGCACTTTTGGCTTATGAAACATGGGAGCACACACCTAATTCAGGCCAGTACCTCCCAGCCGCCCACTGCCAGGGGAGCATACACATGGGTGGGTATGGAGCTAGAGGACAGCCTCATGCTATGGGAGGGCACAGGCCCATGGGCATTGGCAAACTGTGCCCAGACTCTAGTAGGGAGAGCAATCCTGGAGGTGCAGAGGCCTGGGGAACAGCCCCCCTAGCTGTGAGTGCAGATGGAAACCTGGCATGGGGAGACAAAGGGAGATCCATTGGTGTTTAGCTGTGTGTGGAACATCTGAGAGAGCTGGGCCAGGGCCTGGGTCTACAGAGGCAGCCTTCTCTGCCCGCCTTTGGGTCTAAAATTTTAAACCAAGTGGATTTGGTACTTCAGAGCCACTCACATGAGAGAAAGTGGAGCAGGTAGCAGAACCACCTGAGTTCTGTGTGCCTATCTTCCCTTCCCCCCAGGCATGTTATTCTAGATTAAATTTAAACTTAGACACACTGTAAAACTGAGGCCCACCCTTCTGTAAGACTATATTTTCCAGGGTGAAATTTCCAGCTGCAGAAAGTGAACGTGGACTGAGCACCATGTGGCCCCTCCTAACATCCACCTCCCAGTCCCCATCTTTTATGAGTATAGAAACAGGATCACCTTGGTGGCCTCAGGAGGCCACCTGCTGACCCCCAGGAGGCCACTGTTCCAGCCTGACATCTCTGGGGCTCCTGTGGACAAAGAGCCAGACCCAGGGGCATGAATTTGCCCTGGGAGGGTGGGGAGGGTCTCAGTCTGGGGCAGTTCGAGTTCACTTTGAGATGGGCTGACTAGGAAGGTACTTGGAAGTGACAGGAAACCTTCCCTGAGGCAGGGGTGTTCCCAGGCAGAAGTGTGGGAGGAGGGGTCAGGATTCATATTGTTTTATGGCCTTACACATGAGGGCAAAACTTGTGCAGGAGCTCCTCTTTTGGCATGTGTCTCTCATCAGTGCTGCACTGTAAGGGTGGTCTCAGTGAAGGGGTCTTATCACAAATCTGAGTAAATAAAGGGGGCAGGAACTGACATGTAGAGGGCCTGGATGCATCGCACATGTACAATTTCCTCCAAATTCTTCAAGTTGTCCACATTAAGTATGTATAGCTTTTCTGTCAACCACATCTCAATAAAGTGGTTTACAATTTTTAAAATAAAAATTAAGGAAGATCTAAGTTCAACTGCAGCATAGAATGCCAAGGAATCTATTGAGTTTCTGCTGTGTGCCCTGCTCACCTGGGAGGTGATTTGGGCAGAGAACACTTGTTTCACAGTGGGGCGAATGTGCAGGGATTCCCACCCCAAAAGTCACTTTTGCCCTGGCATCAACCACCTACCCAGACCTGGAGGAGATGGTACACAGGGCATCAAGGGCAGGGGTATCCAGAGAAAGTTGCCAAACCACACTGTGGCAGGCAGTCACTGGTGGCACTTTCCAGTCCGAAATCAGAGTGTGTGCTTAGGTTGTATTTATGTTTCCTTTCTCTCCCAGGACTTGATTTCTAGGGAGGGTCTTGCAGGGGCTGCACAGCCTTCTCTGGGCCTCTTGTTCTGTTAATAAGCACTTCCCTCTCAAGCCTCACCTGGGCCCACACCTGCAGGCCATCAGCCTCCACTTTCCTGCCCATTCCGGGAGATCTGGGTGGGGACCTGGGATGTGCTCAGGCCTGCAGCACCTGCTTGCCCCCTGTGGCCAACCAGCTGACTGCCCCCTCCCCACAGCCACCCCGCTGGGGCAGGAGCCAGCCTATCAACGTGAACCATTATGCCAACAAGAAGAGTGCAGCAGAAAGCATGCTGGACATCGCGCTGCTGATGGCCAATGCCTCTCAGTTGAAAGCTGTCATCGACCAGGGCCCCAGCTTCGCCTTCTTTGTCCCTCTGGTGGTACTCATCTCCATCTCCCTTGTGCTACAAATCTGCGTGGGCGTGCTGCTCATCTTCCTGGGTATGTGCCTAGACAGGTGCTGGTGCTGAGAGGGCCCTGCAGCTCTGCCCCATGCCTGGCTGGTTCTGTTTGCATACCTCCTGGGATAGGGTGCTTACCACCTGACACCCTCTGAGCATGGAGCCCTCATAGAACTGCACAAGGTGGGGTGGGATTCTTCACTTGGCCATGAAGTCCAGGATGTAGCCCCCAGAAAGCCCTCCATGGCTCTGTCCTTCTAACCCCCCAAGCTGAGAATGCAGAAAAATATCATAAACACACTGAGAGTTGACATGTATTGAGTGCCTACCACCTGTGTGTCTAATTCTTACAATGGTCTACAGATACTAGATGGTGCTCCCAGGATCCCTGTCCCCCCAGTTGAAGGTCAGGGCTAGGAGCAGCAAGGTCTCCAGGGTTGCCTTGACCTCCTCCTGGCTGTGCAACCTCAACCTAGGTCACTTTACCTATTGACCTTGGTTTCCCTGCCTATAAAGTGGACCTAAAGACAGGGCCTTGGGTAAATGTGAGGATTGCTAGGTCACCACATACAAGACACTGATTAAACGTGCTTGTCTCTGTGTGCTCAGCACATTGTGCCTTGAAATCCAAACCTGGGCCCTTGGTTGGTGCCTCCTACTCTGTGTCCACAGATGCCAAGCCCCTCTGAGCTCCCATCCAACCAATGCCACAGGCCATGCCCACTGTCAGTAGGGCATTAGAGCAGGCATGTCTCCCTGATGGACAGAGTGGGCCCTGCAGCATTATCAGACCCAGTGCTGGACCCAGTGTAGGCAGCCTGGGCAGTGTCCATACCTTCTCTCCCACAGTCAGGTACGACCTCAACAACCCAGCCAAGCACGCCAAGCTGGACTTCCTCAACAACCTGGCCACCGGCCTGGTTTTCATCATTGTTGTGGTCAATATCTTCATTACTGCCTTTGGTGTCCAGAAGCCTGTATTGGACGTGGCACCCCGGCAGTAGGGCTCAGGTGAGTTTTAAGGGCCAGCCTGGGCACTCCACACCACCACAAGCCTGCCCCCAAACCCTGCTGGCCACTGACCCATGAGCAGGGCTGGAGGCTTGGGGCCTCTCATACAGAGCCCCCTTGACCTTGTGTCTGCTCCTGCTTGGGCTTCGTGGGGTAGGCATCCTGGCTGCACATTCCCACACCACACTCAGCCCTCACCCTTGTTCACAAGGGCTGAGTACCTGCAAAAGTCACCTCACTGGGGAGCAGGAGCCAAGGGAGGTCAAGTGACCCTTATAACATGCTCAACAAAGCAGCCCCTATTGTGTGGAGCCAGTAGGCTCAGACACAGGCACCCTGAGTGTCTCAAAGGCTGATACAGAAGGTCAGCAGAATTCAACACTCTCTTGAGCTTGATATCATCAACCAGGCCTTGAGGTACCAGTGTCTTGCATTTGGAACCTGGCCAGGGCTGCACACCACAGATCCATGTGACCTGTGGCCCAGTGGTCATGCCACAGGCCTACCCCAGAGAATGGGTAGATACCACTAACAGACAACTATTTATCCCCCAGGGATGTCCTATGGCAGGATGGCAACCCCACTGAACCATCTGGATACCACTTGCCCCCTCATTCATGGCATGGCAATCAGACCATTAATTGCTCAATGTATGCCCCAAACACACCCTGACTCTTCCCAAGCATCAGTCCTTTGGCATGATTCCCCTGCCAGTCCCTGCTCCCTGGGGTCACCCAGAAGAGTGTGCTGGGGCTGAGTCACTAAATCCTCACAGTGACCCAGGAAGGAAAACTGAGACTTGCCTAGATCAGAATTGGAAACTTTTGGAGTCAGAGTGGTCCTGACACTTTATGGACTGGTCACAGAACACAGCACTGAGGCGGAGTCACCAGGATGGCACCAGGGCCCCACTAGCCTGGGCTGCCCTCACACCTCTCCTCTCCTTTGCAGCGGCCTGGAAAGCTGCCTCACCCTTGAGGCCCACCTGCTTACATGTGGCGGTCCCTGAAACCACCAAAGCCAGGACTGGACTAGAGGACACTTGGGCCAGTGTGAGGCCTGCTCTGTGCTTGGTGGTTCCTTCTCCTGGAGCAGAGACAGCAAGGTCCAGCAAGGCCCAGAGGGCAGAATTGGAGATCCCCAAGAAGGGTCACAGCCAGCACAGACACACAGCAGGCCTGAAGACGGGCAGCGAGCGGCCAGGGCCAGCCTTAGTCTCAGGATCTTCTCAGAGGGACAAGAAGATGTCCCCCTCAGCCAATGCACCCTTGGGAGACCCATGGCCTCTGCCCTTCCTGACCCATGCCCCAGCCATGGCTGTGGGCCCTGCATATACCTTCCACCAGTAGTAACTGAGTAGGGTCTGGGGCCTGAGCCCCACTTTTCTAAGCACAAATGACCAATAAAATAGATGCTTCTTCTGTGTAGCTTCCAGCACCACTGTCCCTCCCCTGGGCCTGGCCTTGCACTGTACCCTGAGCCCCAGCCTGTGCTGGCCTCCCTCCCTCCCTGCACAGAGCAGCCATGGGGACATGCTGTCATTTCCCAGCCTTCTCCAGAACTGTGAGCTTGGGCAGCTCCTTGGTGCCTGATGTCTCAGGTCAGATATTCAGGCTGAGACCAGGGTTTTGAGTCTCTGGTGTCCAGTGTCTTTTACTTTTTTAGTTCAGGTCACAGAAGAATGGTTCCAAGAGCTTCCAGTAGCCCAGCCCAGAGACTGCCTGGCAGGGAGTCCCGCCATGGCCATCATTTGCTATATTGGGAGCCTGCCCACAGGGGTTACCTCCCACCCAGCTGGGGCTCCAGTGAGTGGCACACTACTGTTAAGTAAAAACTTCAGTTTCACCCTGCCAGAAATGGGTTCACTGCCCTGACCATACATGATGACCAGGTCAGAAGAACAGCACAGATACATTGCTGTCTACACAGCAGACTCATCCATGTGTCGCCAGGCTTTCCACTAGCTCATTTGTAGCAGAACAGAACAAAACCCCAAGGTCCTGCCCCCTGCTCTGGTTCAGAGGCTCCCAGGTACTTCCTTGGATCTGGTTCAGGTGGTGCATTTTTAAGGTGACTGGCTCTGGGTGCCTGTGTCAGGGCTGGAGGTGGGCATGGCTAGTCCCCATGTCACCTTGGGGGTCAAGCCAAGACTGGACCCTCTGCAGGAGTTAAGGGAAGAATAGCAGGCAGGATGCGCTGTTGGGGAAATTCCCTCCATTGGCATCTCCAGATGTCACCCCTACTGTTCTCAGGGCACTTAGCCTGGTGACCCGTGACTAGCCCCTCAGGAAAAGTTCTAGCACTCTCACCATTTCCTGCAGCCCACATGCCGCCTGTCTTCCCTCAATACTCACAGCCATGACCCACCCCCGATGTGGTGCCCAGCACTGCCCTTCAGTCATGCCTCCTGGGCCAAGGAGAGTAGGGCTGGTGCCAGGTAGGCTGAGACCCTGCAGAGAACCCCAAGGGCCAGGTGCTATCTGGGGGGTTGGCCCATCTTGAGGGTCCTCACCTCACCTGCCTGGAATCCCCAGCTCCCTCTATTCACCCCAGAGGCCTCCAGGACCTGAACCCTCACTCTCTGCCCTTTATCCCCTCCACCATGACCCTGCTGCCCCACCCCCTCATCTCCTTGAGGTGGCAGTTCTGGCCACATCTGGTACCCTCCAAGAACCTGGGATACCTGGGAACCCCTGTGGCCTTTGCCTCTCCTCCTCTCCCCATTGCTTCTCTTCACATGCATCTGAGCCTGGGGTAGCTCTAACACCCTGTTCCCTTAAGATGTTCAGATGACCCTGCCATCTGGTCTGTGGAGCTGAAAGATCAGGTTGGCACAAAATTGTGGATAAACATAAGTGCTTATGGGTGAGACATTCAGCCCTGGGCTTTGCTTTTAAATACTCCAGGAATAAGCATAGGAAATGATGAAAGAGGGTTGAAGAAGTACTGGTGACTACAGAGTTGGTGCCACAGGATGACTCTGCTCTGGTGAGTAAGTGCCCCATAAAGAGGATTTTTAAAGGTGAGCCCATGTGGGATGAGGTTCAAGAAGAAGCAAGTGGGCAGTGGTGGACACATTTCTGGCTGGTGGAGCAGGTATATAAGCTGTGCATGGGACCAGGCTCTGGAGTGGTGAGGAGGTTCTCAGACTCACACCACCTCTCTTGCTGTCACTGTGAGCCCACATTACCTTCCCCTCTTGCTTTATGACAGAAAGCAGCAGGTAGTCAGGCTCCCAGCTATGAGCTGCCCCAGCCCCTGGCCCTTGGCCTAACCTATCTGGTGTACCTTGTTGCATCTCCTTTGCCCCTGCTCTTAGCCATCCCAGTATGTCCAGAACAGTATCTGGGCCCATCCCTCCAGGCCCAGCTCTACCCAGGGCCTGGCACAGGTGGACTCCACCTGAACCTTGTTCCTAGGGTGGCCTGAAGTAGCCTGTGGTGTGGCTGGCCAGCAGTCACAAGGGAGAAACACCAGCCTGTGTGCCGGTCTTATGAGGCAGCATCTCAGATGTGGCCAACAGATGGCTTGGCTCCTCCTTCAGCCATGACCAGAAGTCTGCCCAAACATAGTAGCCAGAAAGAGATAGCCCCAGATGGTTGGACAGAGTACTGGGCCACCAAACCAGCCTGGCTTCCATGGGTGCTCTGGGCATCGGGGGCAGGTCAGGGTGTGTTCCCCAGCCCCAACAGTCCCATCCCAAGGTGTCTTCACCAGGCACACATGATGACACCTCATCCCCCACCCACTAGCTCCCAGGTTCAAACCTCAACTGCCACTCTGGCACCTTGACCCCTCATTGCACATATGTCCTCATGTTGGGCCTTAAAATAGTCTGCCACTTTCTGAGGATAGAGCTCAGCCCTTAGGTCCTTTCCCATAGACCCTCCAACTCTTCTCCCCTACTGGCCACTGTCACAGGGAGCCATTGGGGTTTACTTGGCTTTTAGTACTATGAGCTGGCCTCACTGACCCCCATGTCCCCTCCCCATTATCTGAGGCCCACCCATCCTTGCCATGCTGGCCTAAGACCAGGGCTGTCCCCCAAAAAGGAAAGTCCTGCCCACCAGTCCCCCCAAGGGCAGAGAGGTTCTGCCTGAAATGGGGGAGGTAGGCCTCATTCATGCCTATGCTTCTATGTAGGATCTTGGTCTGGCCTGGGTCTTCCATCGGATGCCACCACCCATGGCCTGTGTCCTTAACACTGTCCAGCATGCAGTAGGTACTCAATAAGTGTCTATAGCATTTGCTCACTCACTCATGTGTGCCTCAGCACAGGGTGGGGCAGAGCAGGGCCAGCCTCCCTGGTGTGACAACTCTCAGGGGCTTCTCCTGGGCCCTAACACCCTACTCCCACCCAACTCCCTCCCACCCTGTGCCTCCACCCTGAAACTCAGCTTTGTCCTCCCAGGGGGATATCAGAGACCCTGAGAGTGAGCAAGGGGCTTGAGGAGCAAGAAGATGCAAACAAGGTGGGGGGCTGTCATGGAGGGACATACATAGAGAGGGGCATTTGGGGAGGTCTCAAGAATGATGCCTGATGTCTGATGGCAGTATGGAACCTTGTGGAGGATAAACCCTGAAAGCTTGTGACCTGGGCCTGGATCTGAGCCAGGGATGGTCAGGTGGGGGAGGGAGTTGTCATGTGAAGCTAGAGTGGGGTGGTGGGTGAGACATGGCAGGGAAATTGTATGCTTAACCTTCTTACTGTAAAAGATGATGGATGAATGGACCAAGAAATGATCAATTAATCGATTGGTAGGTAATAGATTGATTGATAGATGATAGATAGATGATAAATGGATGGATATAGGGAAATAGGTAATTAATTGAATACTTGATCAACAGAGAAAAGATTAATGGATAAATAAAGGAGAGATAATAGGTGGTAGGTTGACAGATAAAAGATAGATGACGGACAGATAGGAATAGGAGTGAGGAAGTAGCTATGTACCAGTTAAAACCCAGGCAGGGCCCCTCCATCCCTGGGGAGCTGGTATCTCCTCAGGCTCAGGTTCCCTGCATGCAACCCAAGACACCACAGTTTATTCCTGCCCAGTTCAAACTCTGGGTGTGTCCCCTAGGTGTGGGTCCCTCTACAGGCTTCCCTCACCTGCCTCTTCATCCTCACCATCCACATTTGAGACCCTGGCACACTTGACAGGTGCTGAGGAAGGAGGAGGAAACACAGGACAGGTCAGGCAATCCTCCTCACCCCCAGGAGGTGACAGCCAAGGTGAAGCCCACGGACTGAGAAGGTGACCATTTGCTTTCACATCTGCCACACTCATCTGCCTGTTTTCCTCCTCCCTCCCTCAGGTGCCTTCCAACCGCCTTTAATTGATTTTAATTCCTTTTTCCTCGTGGCATTACTTTTAAAAATCAGGAAGCTAAATGTTTTAATGTTTTTCCTTCTCAAGGATTTATTTCAGGAGTAAACTAAGTAAGCTGCTGGGTCTGTGTGGCACAAGGAGCTGCCCCAGGGCAGCAGGGCCCCTCCCTAGCCCCAAGGCCCTGTTCTTGGTGTCCTCTCAGTTGGGAGAGGGGCTTAGTCTGCCTCCAGGTGGGATAAAAGTCAATTGTCCCAACTGCCACCTGTCCAGTGCTGAGGAAGTGCCCCCTGTCCCTAAAATGGGTCCCCTTCTTGCTCCTACTGTACAGGTAACCTAACCTAAGCTCCAGCAGGCAGGCCTTGGAGCAGGACAGGCCCATCTAGATTTTCGTCTCCTGAGCCCCCTCCAAGTCCAACCCCTCACAGATGCTCATCCGTGAGACTGTGGGTTCCAGGGCTCATCTGGCAAGGGCCTGACCTAGGGCCTGGGGTTTGTGCAGAAATTTGGTGGGGAATACAAGGAAACATGGCTGGGCAGGGTTTCCTCTGAGCCCTGCCTCAGAGTGCTGACTTGTGGAAACTATAAATACCACCCCCAATTCCAGCAGAGTCAGCGCCCCCTGCCTGGACCCTGTGCCTGCAGAGTCAACACCACACTCTTGCCAAGGGGAACCCTGAATTGTGCAAGATGCAGCTGCATTCCAGACTCTGAAAACATGAGCTCATGTCATACACAGCTTGTGACCATATCTTTCCTGGGCAAGAGTAACTGGGACCCAGACTCCCTTCCTCACAGGCACAGTCATCAATAACATACATGCCCTCCTTCATAGTACCCTGCTCCCAACACACACACCAACTCCCTGCCTAACCAACTCCTCACACTGATGGGTCATGGTCATTGACATCAATTCAACACAAACAGGAATCCCCAGTTTGGGGTGCAGTGTAGAAGGCAACTTAATTATTGAGTGCAAACAACTAAATTATCAAGCATGGCTGTGAGGCCCTGGGTTGAAGCGGCCCTTGGGAGGACAGCTCTGTTCTGCTCAACTCTGGTCTGGTGAGATATCTTGGGTGTTTCATCTTTGGTGT